CATACTGAATGATGCCTACCCACACTGATGGGAATGATCTTTACTAGTCTACCAATTCAAATGCTAATCTCTTCCAGAAACACCCTCACAGTGTTTTACCAGCTATTGGAGCACTCCTTATCCAAGTCAAATTGACACTTACAATTAACCACCACACACATCTAGCCAACTTTCACACTATACTTCAACAAAAGGAGTCCCTACTAAAAAGACAAAACAAAAACAAACAAAAGACCCAACTAAATAGGATCAAGAGTCTCATAGTATAACTTCCACAATAACCAGGATAGTACTGAAAATCACTCATCAAAGCAGAATCAGGAAATCACAACATTTATAGAGAAAAGACAATTAATAGATCCAACAGTGGAATGAATCAGATGTTGGAATTATTCGATGACTATAAAGCAGCCATCACAAAAATGCTTTATAAAGCAATTACAGATTCTCCTGGAACAAAGGAAAAAATAGGAAATTTCAACAAAAAAATAGAAATTATAAAAAAGAACTACGTATGTTATTAAATTTAAAAATACAATAACTGAAATAAATTTCCTAGATGAAATAGGAGGGTGGAAAGACAAACAGTAGAACTAGTAAACTTAAATGTAAACCAACAGAATTTTCCCAATATGAAAAACAGACAGAAAAAAGGGGAAAAAAACTTCAGAGACCTGTGGGACAATAACAAATGAGGTAACAGTCATATTATTAGAGTATGAAAAGGAACACTACAGTTTTCTGAGTTGTTAGCATTGGAGAATTGAGTAAAGAGTACACCAGCTCTCTATTCTACCAGAGTGTATAATTATACAATTATATCAAAATTAAAAGTTAAATTTTTAAAATATATTAAATCTAAACAGAAACATTTCTCACCAATAACCTGACATTATGGCTTTTCAGTTCTCTGAAATAAGCACCCAACTGTGCTCAACATGCCACTCTATGATGACTGTGAAAGGTATAATTTACCAGATAATGTCATTCTGACCAGCTGGTGAATGAGTATCATAAGCTTACATCAATAGATTTAATAAGTTGGGCTTTATTAAAATTAAAAACTGTTCTGCAAAAGACAATGTTGACAGAATGAGAAGACAAGCCACACACTGGAAGAAAATAGTTGCAAAAGATATATCTGATAAACAATTGTTATCCAAAATATATAAAGAACTATTTAAACTCAACAGTAAGAAAATAAACAAACTGATGTAAAAAATGGGCAAAAGATCTAAACAAATACCTCATCAAAAAGATACATCACAGGGGCCAGGGATTTAGCTCAGTGGTTCCACCACCTGCCTCGCAAGTGCAAGGTCTTGAGTTCAATCCCCAGTATCCATAAAAAAAAAAAAAAAAGATACATCATAGGTTGTTAGGAAATTCCAAATTAAAACAAAAATACTACCTTATATCCATGAAATAGACAAAACTAAGATCTACAGAATTAGAATGGCACAATTAATCATTGTAATTTAGTGGATCTTTTCAAAAACTTACTGTTTATTAAACTCTTAATGCATCCCAAATAGGTTATAGTCTCTGTCCACAATAGAATAATAACAGATGTAAATTTAAAAAAACAAAATCCTATTCATTTAGAAATTTTAAACATTCTTCCAAGTAATTCTTATATTGGGCTAGGATGTAGCTCAGTGATACAGTGCTTGCCTGGCATGCTTGAGGCCCTGGGCTCAATCTCCAACACCACAAAAACGAAAACAAAAACAAAACAAGTATGTCTTAAATTTAAAAAGAAAAATTGAACTTCCATCTTATTTAGAGTAAATGAAAATAAAATATTATTATAAAACCACTTTGTTATTGCCAGAGTCTGTCACCACATGGAAACTTGATAATTTTGAACATGTTTTTAGAAAAAGAAACTGAAAACAAATTAATCAAGACTTCAACTCAAGTAACTAGCAAGAGAGTTAGAAATCAAAGGATAAGAAATAAATACATACAAATAGGAGCATAAATTACTGAATAGAGAACAGACGAAAAAAAGAAACAGATTTGATTAATGAAATCAAGTCTCATTCTTTGAAAAGGCCAATAAAACAGTATTTGCTTTCCTTGGAAAAAAAGTTTTCTTCTCGTTTCTCCCTCTCTCTCCCTCCTTCCTTTGGCTTTTTTTCAATTAGACACAAATAATGAACCAAAGGAAAATAGAAACAAATTTTTCATAAAGAATATAACAAACTTTTAAATAAAGATACTACATAATACTAAATGCCAAGAAATTTGAAATGCCAAGTTATAAAAAGAGACTGTCAAAAAAATGCAGACACACTTCAGCAGTTCACCATACTAATAAATGTCTGGAAACTAATGGCCACCACTTTGAGCACCTATTGTAATTGTAGAGCCCAAAAGTAACTTGTAGTAATCTCATGAAGTCACAATAAATTTAGTATTAAAATATTTACACAAGTTTTTCTTTTCCTGATGTACACATTTTTTTTTGGCAGAACTGTTACTTGTCTAGAAAAATATAAGCTTCTGAAACTGACTCGAGAAGAGGTTAAAATCCATAAAGAAATAACTATAAAGGAAATATAATGGGTCACCAAAATTCTACCACCCAAAAAAGATAAAAGATATTTTCTATGAAAAAGAGCTACCAAAATTGCAAGAAACAGGCAACTCATGTGTTATTTAAAATGTAGGATGCAAAGGAAAAGTTCCTTAAATTATTATAAGGAACTGATATAAGCCAATCTTTATACCATAAAAAAGAGAACTACAGACCATCTTCACCTGTGAATAAAGATGCAAAAGTCTATGCAAAATATTGGCAAACTGATCCAGAACTATATTTGAACAATGCTCTTCACAAACTAGTACACACTTCACTAGTAGCATTGACGATCACTTTAGTGCTAGAGACAATACATTTTTATTTTAATAATTATATATTTTTAACCTTTATTTATTGCAAGTGATGTTTTTCTGCTTATTATATGCACAGAAATATGTTTAAGGAAGTATTTACAAAAAAGTAGTACAAATTACCGTTGTGACAAAAATCAGGAAGCAGGTAAATACAAATAAAATATAGAGAATCTTGAAATTCACACCATGACCAATAGTTTTATATCAAAACTATATTAGTATTATTTACTATATTAACAAATTAAAGGAAAAAAATCATACGAAGATAAAAAATCATTTATTAAAATTCACTAACCATTTCTGATTAAAAAGTAAACCTTAAAGAGCTAGAAATAAAAGGCAAATTTCTTAAATTGATAAAAAGCATCTTTAAAAAACTTATAAAAACATCCTATTTAACACAGAAACATGCTAGATAAACTCACATTTAATTAGAAACATAGATGAACTCACAAGTTCATCAGTTAACATTGCTCTATAGTTCCAATCCAGTTTAATAAGATAAAAAGAAGGGTGTGGGAAGATATAACTACTGGAAATAAAAATATAAGGCAGTTACAATTTCCATACACATGACTGGTTTTTTGTATATGTGTATTATGGATATATATATAGTCAGGAAAAACACATATAACTAATAAAAGAATTCATAGAGCTAATACAAAATCAACACATATATAAAAATTAATAGTATGAAGAATTATAAAATGCAATGAAGAAATATATTCTTAACAGCAACAAAAATTATATATAGGGATCAAATACAGAATATACAATAAAATTATATAATTTTATGGAGAAGTTTAATAAACATCTGAATAAACAGGGTGAAAATACCATGTTCTAGAATAAGAGGTCTCAAGATTATAAAAAAGTCAGTTCTCGAGAAAGTAGTGAAGCTGCTCTAGAAAGTAAATTCAACCCCAGTCAAAATCATAACTCAAGATGTTTTATGAAATCTGATAAGTTGATTCTGGAATTCATCCAGAAGAGAAAATATACTAGAAAAGCCAGGATACCCTGAAAAACAAAATGAAGATTTGCTGAGCAAAATACCAAAACATATTATAAGGCTGAAGTAGTTAAAAATGTGATGCTTGGGGCCGGGGATTTAGCTCAGTGGTTTCGACCCCTGCTGCACAAGCGCAATGACCCGAGTTCGATCTCTGGTACCAAAAAACAAAAACAGTGTGATGGTGACTCTCTGATAAACAATAGATCAACAGTACAAAATACAGGGTCCACAAATAAACTAGAAACGAATAGTTGGCATTTCAAGCAGGGGAGAAAAGATGAAAGATTTACTGATAACTGAGATGACATTTTAAATCTACCTCACATTATATACAAAAATTAATTTCAATTATATTAAACAGCTGGCTCTAAAAATAATACAGTTTTAAATATATGTTGCCTGAATCTATTCCTCCTCACAATATTATGCTAATTTCTCTTTAGCGAATATCCTTTCCTTCATTGTATGAAGTCTTTATAGAACAACTATCAATCAAGGTTCCTTCCCTTTCTCAGACTAAAGGGTTAGGGTCATGTGTCAAGAAACTCAGGTGAAGCCAGTAAAACTTTTCTGGGGTTCTATTATCAAAAACTAAGAGTCTTGGGCCAGGGATTTAGGTCAGTGGTTCCGCCACTGCCTCAAAAGCACAAGGTCCCGAGTTCAATCCCTGGTACAAAAAAAAAAAAAAGAAAATAAGAGTTTTAAAGGGAATGATCCAAGAAAGAAAACACTGAGCTAATTCTCTCCAAAGAGACTTCCCAGATACCTGAACAAGTTCAGTTTTCTATTTCCAAAGCCGAGGTATCAGAGTTTTTTCCTTTCTTTCAATGAGTTACCATCTCATGCTCTTCCAATAAATTCCATTTTGTGTTAGAGAAACTTGTTATTAGTAACCAAAAGAATTCGACACAGAACCCTATTGCAGCCACAATTTAGCATTTTTTTAAGTACAACAACAAATATAATCAGGTGAAAAGACAAGCAACCATAAGAAAACATGAATGATATATATAAAGTAAGTATAAGGTCAACGTTATATTTACAACTCTATAGATGAAAGTAAACAAATAAGCAAGTAGAAAACTGGGCTGTTTATGTAATCAAGAGAGGAAGAAATATAAATATCTAATAAATATGTGAAAAATGTCCATTCTTATTAGCAAAACAAATACAAATTAAGTAACCATAATGTAACTGGTTTTCACACAAGAAACTGAGAGAAATTAAGAAATGTCTGGCCAGAGATTTAGCTCAGTGGTGCCGCGGTCCGCCTCGCAAGCACAAGGTCCCAAGTTCGATCCCCAGTACCAAACAAAAAAAAAGAAAAAGAAATGTCAACACTAACAAGATGTAAGAAAATGGCCACTTCATAAACTATTGGTCAAATGTAAGTTAATGCTGCCTTCTGAAAGGACAATCTGCTATAATACTCAGCTAAACTTTAACTTGGTATTTTCTTTCTTTCAGTAACTTTACTTTCAACAATTTATCCATGGAAAAACACATTCATTCAATAATGAAATTGACATATTCAATAATAAAAATTAGCAATAATATAAATGCTGGAAAGAGAAATGGTTAAGTAAATTATGTCATATTTATGACAAGGAGAATTGCTGCAGTTAAGAACAAAGTAGATATAAATGCATTACCATGAAACAATTTGTAACATATATATATAAAGTTACAGAAGTAATTCACAAAACAATACACTTAACATATTGCTTGTTTTAAAAACTAGTCTATTAAAATATAAAACTACATATTATATATATGAAATATATCTATAATAAACATAAAGGCAAAATAAAGACTCTTGGACAGATATATACAAATTCACTAAAAGTGGTTTTACCTCCAGTAAGAATGCAACCAGTTAGATAAAAGGGACTTTCTTGCTTTTTACTCGATATGCTTCTTTTATTTCATGTGTTTATGTATGACTTACATAATACAACACTTTATTAAAGAAAATAAAGTGTGAATAACACCAAACAAAAGAACCCTTTGCAAGCAGAAACTCTCGATTTAAAATTTTAAACCATGTATTCCAAACTTTTAAATGTTCCCACTCAAATATTATAGAATATTCTATTATTCAAATTTGCAATTGAAACCATGACAAAATATTTCATAAAGGACTAAGATACTGTATATATATTGGGAATTAATGTAATTACATACTCATAAAAATAAAATTTAATAAAAGCACTTAATCCTAAGAGATTTAAAAAGTAACTACTTTCATGTAGACACGTTCACTAAATCAACTCAAGGTTTACTAGCCATAAACTGTTGAAACTTTAAATTGAGAAATTTACATTTAGAGGAAAAACTATAACACCAGCAAAAACCCTTATCTGGAAGTGTTCATATAAGCTCATTAAAACATCTGTAAGCAGACTAAATTTTTATTAGATTCTTCAGTGTAAAGAACCAATTATTAAATTTTATTGCAATTTCAATGATTTAAAATCACATACTGATTTTAATGTCTTGGTATCCTTTTCAAAACATGAAAACCTTATTCTGAAGGAAAATCTATAAATTCAAAGCTATTTAAAAACAAGTGGTAGGGCCGAGGATTTAGCTCAGTGGTTCTGCTGCCTGCCTCACAAGCCCAAGGTCCCGAGTTCGATCCACGGTACCAAAAAAAAAATTAAAAAATAAAAAATAAACAAGCGGTAGGTATCAAAAACTATCAAAATTCAACTGAGTATAGTCGCCTCAGCTACATGGGAGGTTGAAGCAGGAGTATCATAAGTTCAAGGCCAGCCTGGGCAACTTACCAAGACTCTCTCAAAAATAAAAGAAAGGTTAGGGATATAGGTCAGTGCTTACTAGGTTAAATACCTAGTACCACAAAAAAAAAATCAAAATTCATCCAAGTTTTGATAGATACATCTTCCCAATAAAGGTATAATTGGAAAAAAATTTTATCTATCTCAACTTTTAGTTATGGAATTAATTTTGTTTCTAAGTATTCAAAGAGTAAATATA